CCGAGTCATCTATTTCTTTATCTTGCCACAAAGGCAGGGCAGCTCTGTGTTTCTTGCGTACAATTTTGAAACAGAAATCGTTTTCTAAACACTTTTGAGACAAGATTGGAAGGCGGCGCTGGTAGGTCATACTTCTTTCTATCCTTCTGTTATTTGTGTCTGTCTGCATGAGGTGTTGCTCTTTCTTGCACTACATAGCCATTTTCTATTTACTTTTCTTTAGTTTTAACAAACAAACAAACAAAGAAACATACACACAGAAAAACACACCACCAAATTCTCTTTTAGAACTACCTATTTTTTTCTCCTTTCCCAGCAGTTTTACATATTTAGGTATAACGAAGCACTTTTTTAATAATGAATGTTTTCTTGTGACACTGCTGACAATAATCAGCATGCTTGGTATTGATACATGATGAACTCGAAACACATTTATTCTGAAAACATAAGTAGAAAGCAAGAGAAGAAGGGGGAACCAGAACAGGAGAATGATGGGAAAGGGACTTAGAGACTGTGGTAGGAATAAACACAACTCAGGCGGGCAGAATTGCAGTTAGAGACTGAGAGTTTTATAGTACGAAGGTAAAAAAAGCAGCATCCAAGTACTGTTTTTAAGGGGGGAGGGCTACACCTGAAGGCTATCTCGCTTATTTCCTCACCGAATTTTACCAAATTTCACACATATAACAAGCATAGTAAGGAGTCTTTAAATCCGCAATCAAATTTAAGAAAAAGTTTTGTTTCCATGGATACGGCGGCCATATTGGATTTTGTTGACATGTCTTACGTAATGAATACCGCACTCATCGCTTATGGAAATTGAATGATTATTTTGAATGCGTGTTTACAAACATTAGATCTAAAGATCAAAATGTGTTTTTTTCCTAAACGAATTAGAACATTTTTAATGAATTTTTTCCTGAGGTAGCATTCAAGTTTTCAAAAAATCCGTAAAAATCCACACTCCAGACACCACCACCAAAAATCTGTTCCATATATCAAAAATTCAACAGACGAAATTTTAGTGTTACATCTTCTCTTCATTCTGTGAAAATTTCATGAAGGTTGGATGAAAAATGGTGGAATTATTCAAAAAAGTATAGAGAAAAGTCGCGTTTTGAGAAAACAGACGATAAAGAAAAATAAAATACTGACTTTATGAGGAAATGGCGGTGACAAACATGCCCGGTATGGGAAAACATACGGTTTTTGGGGGTTCTTATGCAATGAAATAGTTGTAGGAGAGGCTGAGGAAGCTAAAAATGCCTACAACTCAAATTCCTTAATTTTGAGCCGAATTTTGGCTTTGGTGGTGTAGCCCCCCTCCCTCCCCTTTAAAGCAGGTGTTTTTACGTCCCCATTGACACAATGGAAATGATTTAGGAGGCTAGCTTCGACACTGCCTGTCAGGGCCAATCCAGGTTGAAAGGGATACTACAACCAAGGCTAAAGGACTGAGATACTTGTTAATATGTTCCTCTCCTCTCGGGAATAGAACTTGAGCCTCCTGCGTACGATAGTGAAAGGCCTAACCTCTACATCACAGACGCCGGATCCAACTACCTAAAGAGCTCATGAGAAGAAGAAGAAGAAGAAGAAGAAGAAGAAGAAGAAGAAGAAGAAGAAGAAGAAAAAGAAAAATATAATGAGCGTGACTATTACGGTATGCAGTGAGAAAACAGAACATTTTATTCATTAACTTTGAAATACGATTAACGTAATAAACATCTTAATGTCAAGACAGACGCACATCAATGTTAGATATTGAAATAAAAATAACTCGGTCTGGTGTTTGAAGCTGTCAAACTAGATAATATCTGTATCATGACACGGTAGAATCAGATGCTCGTCAATTAACAGGCATAACAATATGGAGTAATTGGTATCATCGTAAATCCTGTGCATTTGCTTTACTTGTGATTTTCCAAAATACTCATACGGAGATGTCTGGTGTCTGTCAGAGGTAAACATGGCGAGAAAATGGTCATCAACGTTTGGTGACTTCCAGAACCGTAGTGTGCTTGGAAACAGCAAATTTACATTTTGTGTCCCTTGAATTAACGTTCTCCAGTTAATCCAAACAGAAAAGTGTTTATAAATGGACAAAAAGGCGCTAGACCTGAAATGAAGTTTTAGATAAAAATTGCAACTGTCAAAAAAAAAAGACGGTTTCTTTTATTTCATTATTTTGTCGAAAGCCTCATCACCACGATGACACATAATATATTCATATGAAAAAAGCCGTAGAACCACAGGCGCTACCAAAATTACAAAGTTATATCTGACATTTTTGGCCGTTTGAGTTACTAAGGCCATGAGGTTTGGAAATAAATGTTCTACATGCACTATCAAAATGGTTTGATTATTAGGAGTCGTTATCTAGATATTCAAAGAATTGTATTCGAGACAGCTTGACATGTTGTGAAACTGAAAATGTTTTACGTCAAATTTCGCAAAACTAGTCGTTGAGCAGATAGAAGTTTGCAATTCTAGTTTAGCTAAAACCCACTTTACTTTATTCCAAGCTGTAGACCGACGTCATACACTGAGTCGCGCCTTTGCAAATGTGAGGCATCATAGTGAAAACAGGCGCTCGTCAAAGTAATGGGATAATAGAAAACGGCCTTTTCAGACCATTTGGCAATTTTTTAACCAATTTTTCTTTCTTGACTGAACATCTATTTTGTTCATTAAATGTGTGGATTTTACTGAAAAATGTTGACAAAAGGAACACACATTGTTAAATTTGCAGTTTTCAAGGACAATCTCGGAAGTCACAAAACTTTGCCGGCCATTTCCTCGCTAAATTTATCTTTGGCACCACATGACCCCCTCCTCCTTCCATCGAAGTGTCCCGAATTCTATTCATGATAGAAGAGGATTTTTTTAGCAAAAGAAAAGATATGAACAAACTTTAAGATGACACCAATAATTCCATATGCCAAAACATTGACGAGCGCCAGATTCCATCCCGTTGTGATTCAAATAATCAAGTACTTCTTTCAATCCGCCAAAAATCGACACCCCCTTCCCACATGCCCTGGACGAATCGAAGAACTTACGTCTTCCATGAGCATCACCGAAGAGCCTAACCACTGCACCACAATTGTTCGTATCCTTAGCTCTCACAGAATGAACTAGGAACAAGCCTTGTCTCCACCCGACCAACAAATGGGTGACGTCCTTTGCAAACACACGATGCGATGGCTCATGAGGCTAAATCGGTAGTAGAACATCTTGTCGAACCCCCCCCCCCAACCAATGTCCTCTTCCTTCAAAGGTAGCGTCATAGTGAAGTCCCCATTTTCTTGAAGAGGACACGCATTTGGGAGGTCTCGTAATTCCAGTGTCTGTGATCGTAGTAGGCTAGGCGTATATAACAAAATAGGGCGGTGTCCATCTCTACGTTCAACGCTGACATAGCCACTGGGACGGGGTTCGCCGATGTATGAAGGGCCAAGCTGATATCTCCTTCCAGCCTGACTTGTATGGTCACGAACTGACCGACTCGAAGTCCTCCGGGAAATTCCACAAACGTATTTTTGACCACGTCAGTTTTGTGTGAACAGGAAGTATGTAAAACACTTTCTTGGACTCGAGGTTCGCAGATTCTGGCCTACATGTGACACAGTAAGATGTATTCTTGCCACCGAGGTTTCTCTCCATCGCGAAGGATTCACAATTTTCTGAAAGTCCACATTTTTTGAGCACATGGAAACCGTCATGACATAAAAATCTGGGACACATCCAGAAGTTATCTCGCCTCTGTTAACTCTGTACCGAAGCGTTGTCTTTACATCACTCGAGACCTCAGACGCAGGGCACTTATCGCCGCTGAGAAGAAACACAAGGGTGCATAATACGGGGCTTCCCCCGAGTCCCAAAAACATCACATGCTTAGTCAGAGCGTCTAACAGCTTGTTCAAAGCTCTCTGAAAAAACCCCAAAATCCACCATTTGTAGCTCTGAATTATGTCCTACAGTGCTCGTTGTTTGCTCAAATCATTTATTTTTCTTTTTAAAACTAATACGGTATACTATACGTCATTCGATGCCACTGGCCACGAGATATCGACAAAACTTTTGCTCGGTGAGTCAAATGTTTATCTGTCTGTCTCACGTTATAATAATTTCAGAGATCATGTGCAGCTCATAGAGATTTCTGCTCGATGAAGCAAATTTTGTTCTGTTTGCTTTCGGTGTAAATAATATATCCTTTTAACAATATGTCCTGGCTCTTTTGCTATATTATGCTTGGAAACTTTTCACACAATGACACTTGAAAAAATTCAACGTCTTTACTGAAGGTGGCTTTCAGAACTATCAAGCTCCATTTGTGACATGAAACTTCCTTTGAATACCAGGAAAATCGATCATCTAAAACACAAACAGTTCAATCCAAGTGTTCATCGTCGTTCCTCATGTGACTCTTCATTTATAATCATTTACACACGATTTAAGAGGGGCATTTGCTACAAAGAGATGCTGAGCAAAACCACATAAGTCATGCATATTATACGAGATCGAAAACACTAGAGAATAATGTTAGCTTTGCCATTCAAAGTCAAAAGTTAATTTGACGAAATGATCGATTTAGAATGCAGTTTCTTTTATAACAATCAAAAGCATTTCTATTGTGCGATGAATTCCATGTCATCAGCAAGTTCTACTTGCTTGCCATTCTACATTGCACGAATATATCAGAATGGTGGGCACATTCACAGACCCAGGCTGAGAGGGACCTGCAGCAGACAGACGGAGATACTCGATAAAACAACTTCGCTTTTCCGGAAACGAACCCAGGTGTACTGAAAGGAACCCTAAGTTAGAGCAAAACCAACACTACAGTAACCGGGGAGAATTGAGAACAGAGTTTGAAGGGGGGGGGGGACTGTAGAGGTGGTGTTGAGGGGAAAGCTAAGGTTGCTTGTACCCTATCTGTCAGCCCATACCAAGACTGAAAATGCAACATTCTATAGAAAACCAACAACAAACAAACA